TCGCAGAGTGGGGGCTGGGATCCAGACCTTTATTTCTCCGCACTCGCATAGCTGGGCTCCGGGGAGGGCCACCCCCGTGCCCTGAAGTAGGCCCTGAGGTCCTCGTGGCTGAGCGGTGGGAAGTAGGGGCCAATCCTCCTCCGGACCCACCACTTGCCCTCTGCAGCATGTCTGCCCCCGGGGCGGCTGAACTTGTACCTGTAGTGCTCTCCGCGGACCCACCTGCAAGGGGGCAGTGCATCAGTGGGGCCTTGAGACCCCTGGCGCCCGCCCTCCCGCCCCCCGTGTGCCCGCTGAGTTGCGGCTGCTCAGGGCTCTGGGTCCTGAGTCCTGGACGGGAGGCTGGGGACCCGTGACCCCTGGGCCCCCTGACATCAGGCCTGCCTGGGCCATTCACAGATGGGGGGCCCGCTTGGGAGCCCCACCTGAGCACACACAGGCCATGGCAGACCCAGGAAGGATGGTGGTCTCTAAGTTGCACGCTCGGTGGGTGGAGTACATGGCAGGAAGGAGGCCACCCTGAGGGAGGGGGATGGGCAGGTGGCACCTGGGGGCCCGGGCCCTTCTGGAGGCTGTGTCTAGCCTCAGGTGACCTGTGCCCAGGAAGGAGGCCCCCAGAGGCCTCTGCCCAGGGCTGGCCATGCTGGCGGGCACTGGGTGTCTGTGCTGTTGGGAACCCTGGTGGAGGTGATGGTGGAGTGGGGTCTAGGGCCTGGGCACAGCTCACAGCCATGAGGCCCGAGGTGGGAAGGGACTTGGGCCAGGCCAGGGCCTCACTTCCTGGGGATGCAGTCCTCCCCTAGGATGGCGTGGCAAGGCCGCTGGCACTTCCCTGTCACGTGACATGGAGGCGCTAGGGATGGCCACCCTCCTTGAACAGGCCTTGGCAAAGCAAAGGTCTCTGTCCTCACCCGCCCTGGACTGGGGCTCAGAGAGAAGCTGAGGGCAGGGTGGTGGGCGGAACTCTCCGCTGGCCTGTGGCTTTCCGTTTGACCCCCAGTGACTTCTTGAGGCCACGCCAATTTCCCTCCCTAGTTGGCCAAGCCTACTGGCCATGTGAGGACTGGGGACTTTCTCCTGGTGCCTGAGTCTCAGGGGGACCAGACCCATTCTGTACTGTCCTGGGCCGCATGGCCATCACCACCATCTGGCTCTGCCTGTCCCTCCAGGCCCCCCAGTTTTGCAGCAGGAGCTGGAAGCTTCTCACCCTGAAGCAGGACCCACGCAAGTGGCCAGACCTCTGTGAGGATGGCATGGCGGGGGCAGGACCTGTGTGAGGACGGCATGGCTGGGACAGGACCTGTGCTCCCTGTGGCCCCTGGAGTGAGCCCAGGGGACATTAAGCTGCCTCCTCAACACCAGGACCCTCTTTCTCACGTTGTGCCTGAGACACTTGTTATCAGAACCATGGATGTAGACGTGCGTGGGCTCCTGGTGGCTTCCTGGGGCTCTGGGTGGAGGCCATGCCCGTCACCAAGGCCTGGGGCTCTTTACTGGGCACTCCAGACCTGAGGCTGCCTGGTTTTCTGGGGCTGCATGGACGGCAGTGGCCAGCATAGGGGCTGAGGCGGGCAGCAGTGCTGGGCAGAGCAGTCTCACTGGTCTTTGAGCTGGACACAGGGTCATGAGGGCATGGCCAGGCAGCAGAGACAGCGCCACCCCTGCACTCTCCTGGGCCTTGCTGGGCATGGGGACCCCACAGCTGCCCACCCTCTCCCCAGACCGGGGTCACTAGCCTGCATTTAGCAAGGCCAGGAGGGTGGGGGCTCCTGGGAAGGCCCGACTGGCGAGACCACCCGTCTCTCCTGAATCTGCGCTCTTGCTCTTGCTTTCCCTTTCCAGGACAGGGTCAAGGCCGCGGGGTGGGGGTGGGGGTGGGGCTTGCCCCATCCCTGGACGGCAGGAAAGAGGCATCAAGAGCTGGGACTGCAGGTTGGAAAGAGCCAGAGCCTTCTACGCCATCTGCTCCTCATTCCTGCAGGCTAAGCTCCCGAGAGGGCCATGGCCTGTCCCCAGAAGGTTCCAGAGCGGGGTTAGAGCAGAGACCTCCCAGCACATCTGAAACAGGGCTCCCTGGTAACATCTCGTGTGAGCAGGGTGGGGGTCCCAGCCCGAGCTCCGACACTGACACAGGACTCAGAGTGCCTCCCCCAGACACACCTACCCTGGCCCCCTTAGCCTGCAGCCACCTCTCCGCGCTCCTGTCATTTCAAGAATGCACTAAGTGGAGTCCTGCGTCCATGACCTCGGGGACCGGCTTTCTCTGAGATCATTCTCTGGAGGACACAGCCGACACTCATCCCTCGTCGCCCACTGGTGCTGTGGTGTGATGGCCCCCCGGGGTGTCTGTCCGTTCGCCTGAAGGACACTTGGGTTGTTCCCAGCCTTGAGCCGTTCAAGCTGCCACAGACGTCCATGTGGGTTTCTGCATGTCTCCGGGTTGAGCATCCATGAAGTGGCTGCCGGTCATGCGATGACACAAGCTCCAGGCTCCAGGCTCCACACTACCAGACTGCATTCCAGGGCGGAGGCATCATCCACTCCCACCAGCTGTGCATGAGGGACCCACCCCTGGCACCCTGGCCGCTGGTCCTGGGCCGTCGTGCCGTGTGTGCGCTGTGTGGGACTTCGGCCTTGCCTCCCTGACCGCTGCCCACTGGCATCTGCCCAGTGCTTGTCCATCATTCGTCTTCTTTGGTGTAACGTCTCGCATGTCCTGTGCCCATTTTCTAGTTACCTTACTCTGCTGTTGCGTTTTCAAAGTTCTTTATACGTTCTAGATTTCAGTCCTTTGTGGGAACATGTGGTTTGCAGGTATTTTCTCTCGGTTCATGGCTCTAAATAACCCCTCTTAGCAGGATCTTTTGCAGAGCAAAAGCTTTTAATCTTAATGAAGTGCAGCTTATCATCTTTCCTTTGATGGTATCAAGTCTAAGAAAGCCTCGCCTTGCCCTAGATCCCAAAGATTTTCTCCCTTTTCTTTCCCTAAAAGCTTGTTTTGTGTTTTCCTTCTTTCGTTGTTTTTGTTTAGGGACAGGGTCTCACTCTTTTGCCTAGGCTGGAGGGCAGTGGTGTGGTTACGACTCACTGCAGCCTTGAACTGGCTCCAGAGATTCTCCTGCTTCAGCCTCCCGAGTAGCTGGGACTACATGTGTGCGCCACCACACTTGGCTATGTTTTACATTTTACATTTAAGACCATGATTCATTCTAAGTTAACTTTGTATGAGGTGTGAGAGCTGAGTTGAAGAACTTTGTGTTGTTTCTGCCCGTGGACATCCAATTGCTGCAGCATCATTTGCTGAAAGACTGTTTTTCCCCACTGAATTTCTTTTGCACTTTTGTTAAAAGTCAGTTGGGTATCTCTGCGTGTGGCCATCAATGGGCTCCCTGTTCGTCCACTGGTCTGTGTTTCCGTCCCTCTACCAGCACCACACTGTATCGATGACTGTGGCTACATACTAGGTCTTGAAAGTGGGTAGAGTGATTCCTTCCACTTCATTCTTTTCCAACATGGCTTCAGCTATTCTAGTTCCTTTACGTTTCCATGTAAAATTTGGAACAACTTATCATTATCTACAAAAAGAACTCTTCTAGATTTAGACAGGAATGGCATTAGACCGTGGCACCGATCTGTCGTCTCTACTACATGACCTTTCAACCCTGGACATGCAGGTCTCTCCATTAACTGGCTCCACACCTTTCAGCATGTGTGTAGTTTCCAGCACACGAGGCCTGTAGGCACTTTGTTAGAACGAGCCTTTCCTGTTTTTGGAGTGATTGTGGTGGTATTGCATATTTAACTTACAGTCTATGTGCTCCTTGCTGGTATACAGAAATACAATTGATTTTGTATGTTGATCTTGTATCCTCTGACTGTGCTGAACTTGCTTATTAATTCTAGATTCCTTGGGACTTCCGACATAGATACTTATGTCATCTGCAAATAGGCACAGCCTTGTTTCTTTCTTTGAGATCTATATGTCTTTTATTTCCTTTCTAGCCGATTGCAGTGGCTGGCGCTTCCAGCAGTGCATGGTGGGTAGAGCAGACCCCTTTTCCTTGTTCCTGATATTAGGGGAAAAGAATTCACTCCTTCACCATCAGGTATGATGTTGGCTGCAGGGTTTTGCAGATGCTCTTTATAAAGTTGAGGACATTTCTCTTCCTATTTTCCAGGAGTTTTTTTTTTTTTTAAACCATGACTAGGTGTTATATTTGTCAAATTATCGACAATGGCTATGATCTTATGAGTTATCTTCTTTAGTTGGTTAACATGGTGGATCACCCGGATTGATTTTCAAATACTGAACCAACCTTTAGCCCTGGAATAAACCCTACTTGGTCAGTGTGTGTGTGTGTGTGTGTGTGTGTGTGTGTGTGTGTGTGTGTGTGTATTTTTGAGTTGGGGATCTCACTCTGTCATCCAGGCTAGAGTGCAGTGGCACAATCATGGCTCACTGTAGTCTCAATCTCCTGGGCTCTGGCGATCCTTCCGCCTCAGCCTCCTGAGTAGCTGGGACTATAGATATGCGCCATCATGCCTGGCTATTTAAAAACATTTTTTGAAGAGACAAGGTCTTGCTATGTTGCCTAGGCTGGCTTCGAGCTCCTGGACTCAACAATCCTCTTGCCGCAGCCTCCCAAAGTGCTTGGATTACAGGTGTGAGCCACCATGACTGGCTTGTATTCCTTTTTTTTTTTTTAGTATATTGCTAAATTCTATTTATTACTGTTTTGTTGACAATTTTTGTGTGTATAGTGAGGGATATTGGTTTGTAATTTTTCTTCTTGAGTATCCTTGTGTAGCTTTGGTATCAGAGAAATACTAGCTCTATAAAATAAATCGGGACATTTTCTCTTCTATTTTCTGGGAAAGGCCATGTAAAACAGATTCCTCTTTAAACATACAATGAATTCTCCAGTGACACCTAGAGATTTCTTTTGGGAAGTTAAAAAAAATTTTTTTTTAATTTTAAAGATTTGGGGTACAATTCAGGGCTAGGTATACAAATGTTCATTATGCAGTCACCTTTGCTGATGAGGTATGCCCCCCCTCCGGTAGTTTCCCACTTCTGCCAATCCCACCCCCCTGGAAATTTTAAATTACAGATTCAATTTCTTTATTAGTTATGGGGCTACTCAAATGATCTACGTAACACCCAGTGAGTTGTAGTAATTTGTGTTTTTTGGAAAATTGGTCTAGTTCCTCTAAGTTATAAAGTTACATGTGTTGAGATGTTTTCTTCTTATCCTTTTCATGACTGCAGGGTCTGTAGTGATGTCTCCTTTTTCACTTTTGATATTGGCAATTGTATCTTTTTCTTTTCATTCTCACTAGAGGTTGGTCGATTTTATCAGTCCTTTCAAAGAACCAACTCCCTGTTTCATTCATTTTCTCTATTGTTTTTCTGTTTTTAATTTCATTTTTTTGCTCTTTGTTATTTTCCTCTTGCTCCTTGCTTTCAGTTAATTTTTCTCTTCTTTTTGTTTTTCTTGATGCAATTTTGTACTTAGACTATCATCATTATTATTATTTTTTGAGTTGGAGTCTCACTCCTTCCCCTAGGCTGGGGTGCAGCGGCATGCACGCTCTTGGCCACCCCAGGGCTGGCCTGCTGGGCTCCAGTGATCCTTCCACCTCAGCCTTCCAAGGAGCCAGAACTACAGGCGCGTGGTACCACACCAGGCTGATTTTTAATTTTTCTTGTAGAGACAAGGTCTCACCAATTGTTTGGGCTGGTCTCGAACCCGCAAGCTCAGGCAATCTACTTGTCTCGGCCTCCCTAAGTGCTGGGATTACAGGATGAACCACCGAGCCTGGTCTCATCATTTTTTTTAAAGAGTGGGGTCTCCTTAAAAAATAATAGTTTTACTTCTTTTTTTTAGTGTCTTTAGTTTTTAGAAATTTGACTTTGATGTGTTTAGGTCTGAATTTCTTTGGATTTTTCCTGTTTGGGGCTCACTTAGTTTATTTACTCTGTAGGTTTGTGCCTTTTGTCAAATTTGGGGAGTTTTCCGTTATTATTCAAGCATGTTTTCAGCCCTAAGCTCTTTTTCTTTTCCTTTTAGGACTTCAGTGACACAAATTCTAGGTCTTCTGTCACAGTCCCACAGGTCCGTTTCTGTTTTCAGTCTGTCGTCTCACTACTATTTTTCTGTCTTCAAGTTCATCGATTCTTTCCCCTATTCCCTCCATCCTGATGTTTAGCCATCCACTGAGGGTTTTGTTTCAGTTATCACCTTTCTCAGTTCTAAACTTTCCATCTGGTTCTTTAAAAAATCTTCTATTTCTTCTTTGCTGAAACTGTGTTTCTTTCTTTTGTGCCATGCTCACAATTGCTCACTGAGGCTCTTGGATGATGACAGCTTTAAAATTGTCATGAAATAACTAACATCTGTCATCCTGGTGAGGTCAGCTATTCACTGTCTTTTTCATCCAGTTTGATATCTTCCTGCTTCTTGGTATGACAAGTGATTTTTTGGTTGAAAATGGAACATCTTGAGGATTGTGTTAAGAGCTTTGGGATCCTGTCTGAGCCCTTGCTTTGGGTGGCTCCTTCCGATCCTGTGTGGGTGTCAGAAGCAGTGCTGCCTTGCTTCTGCTGGTGGGGGTAGAGTCTAGTTGACGTGTAGGGCATCCTCTGTTACCCCTGGGTTGGACTCGAGTTCTAGCTCCGCACTAGGCCTCCATGACATCATGGCGGTGGTCTCATCACTGCTGGGCAGACAACACCAGGTATCATTGAATGCCCACTGGGGAGAAGGAAGAGCACTCCGGCCTGATGGGGCAGGCGGAAATCTAGGCTCCAAGTAGTCTCCACAGACACCACAAAAGAGGCTCATTCCTACCCGCTGGGATGAACACCTCAGCTTCCTGCTCAGCCTCCTCTGCTGGCCTCCTGGGGAGAGTGGGCAGCTTCTCACAACCGGTCTGGAGAGGAGCACAGGTTCCCCACTGGATCTTGCTGGTAGTGTTGGCTGGAATGGAGAGATTCTTTTCTCAGAGCTCCTGCCAGGCTTTCTGGCCCCACAGCCAGAGACAGCAGCTTTAGTGGGGCCGCTGGTCTGCATCTGCCATTGTTGCCGAGTTGCCGCTTCCTTGTCTCTGGTGTAGAAATGCGGTGGAAAAAGAACCCAGGCTCACCTTGGCCTGTGCTGCTGCTGGGGTCCACGGGCCCTTGCTGAGCTCTCCGACCTCCGCCTTTCTGAGGCATCCTCTGTGTCACGTGAACATCCAGGGCTGTCAGCTGTCCAGTGGGAGGGAGGGATAAGGGTATACCCCATCTTCCTGGACCTGGAAGTCTTAGTTCTCCCAATTTTATTTTTTTAGTCAGGGTCTCACTCTATGGCCTAGGCTAGGGGGCAGTGGTATGTTCATGGCTCACTGCAGCCCTGACCTCCGGGCTCAGGCGATCCTTCTACCTCAGCCTCCTGAGTGGCTGGGACGACAGGCATGCACCGCCATATCTGGCTGATTTTTTTGAAGAGCAAGGTCTTGCCATGTTGCCCAGATGGGTCTCAGACTCCTGGGCTCAAGCAATGCTCCTGCACTGGCCTCCCAAAGTGTCGGGATCACAGATGTGAGCCACAATGCCCGGCCAGTTCTCCCAATCTAAAAAATCACAGATGAACTAAATGGAGACCCATGGCCAGGCCACAGCCAGGCCCACAGCCAGGCCACACCCGTTACCATGCAGCTTGCTCCAGCTGTCAAACAAAGTTCACATCATGTAGACACAGCAGAAGGAGTGTGCGTGGTGGCAGTCTTCACTATTTCAGATATTTTGAGTGTTTCTCCTAAACATTAATTCATTTCCAGTTCCTGCAGGCTCACTGATTCTCACATCTTGGTTTTCACAATCTCCAGGGGCAAGAAGCTTGCTGGGGCCCACCGTCACTGGTTCAGGTCCCTAGCTGGACACAAGGGGGCCCTGGCCAGGTTTCCCCTTGGGGCTGCGGAGGTGGGGCCGTAATAGAATATCCCATCAGCCTGGAGAGCCTGGCTCTGGGCCAAGGCCTGACCACAGGCACACCTGGGGACAAATGTCTGCCTCAGGTGACTGCACCTGTTGAGGACCTACTCTAGCCATCTCTGCCCTCCCAGGTTTGCAGAGGGCCACACGGCAGGCGGTCAGCTGAGATGTCACGCTACTCCGAGAAGCGGTGGTTCTGCTGAGGGGCTGCTAGGCGAGAAGGGTGGCCCCCACCAGGGCTCTGGGAGGCAGGTTGGCCTGAGGCCTGGCCCATGAGGACACCCCCTTCGCCAGACTTCTCCACTCACACGGCCCCCCGCAACCTCCACCCCCCATGCCACCATCCTCCATCCTCCT